GTGAATCTGTGGAACTCATTGCTGCAGAAGGCTGTGGAAGTAGAGTTATTGAGTGTATTTATGACAAATGTTACGCAAAGAAGGCAGGAGAATGGGTTGAGAAGCATATATATTGAATCAGAGGGCTGCAGAGATGTCAACAGAGGAATTCTGGGAGGCGGCACTGCATCACCGCAACTGGGAAGCGGCACTGCATCACCACAACTGGGAAGCGGATCATGACAGGAAACCCTTCGTGATTGACGAGACGAAGAGCATCGAATCAGAAGGTGGCAGAGATGTCACTGAGAGGAATTCTGGGTGGCAGCACTGCAGTCACCACAACTGGTCTGAATAGAAATACTGGCATCAAGAAGTGGTTAAACTCAAAACACTACATCAGTGTAGTGTTCATTCCCCACCTCCTCTAACCAAAATAAAAGGGCACTGCGAGGAGGTCAGGCAAGGTAGGAGTCTTACAGATAGTAAGAAGTGTAGATGCTGGAGTCAGAGTTAACACAGTGTGGAGCTGGAGGAACACTGCAGGTCAGACAGCATCAGAGGAACAGGAAAGTCGACATTTCGGTTTGGGACGCTTCATCAGAACTGATAAAGGGTTCTGACCCAAAATGTCGGCTTTCCTGTTCTTCTGATGCTGCCTGACCTGCTGCTTTCCTCCAGCTCCACACTGAAGGTAAGGTTCTTATTTTCTTTTTAAGTGTATGGGGCGGAGATAGCAGTTAGGGCAGTGGTATGCTCTTCCTGCCAGATGTGGGAAATCAGGGAGAAGTCTAGTGTCCCTGACAACTACATCTGCAGGAAGTGTGACCAGCTGCAGCTCCTCACAGACCATGTGGTCCAGTTGGAGAAGGAGCTGGACACACTGCAGTACATACGGGGGCAGAGAGAATGATAGATGCAAGCTTTAGGGAGGTGGTCACATTACAGGTCCAGACGGATAGGTAGGTGACCGACAAGAGAGACAGGCAGGTTGTGCAGGAGTCTCCTGTGGCTCTTCCCTTCTCAAACAGGTATACTGTTTTGGATGCTGTTGCGGGGATAGCCTCTCAGGAGATTGTACAAGCAGCAACCAGATCTGTGGCACCACAACTGGTTCTGCTGTACAGCAGGGTGGAGCAAAGTCCAGGCGAGCAATAGTAGTAGGTGACTTGATAGTTAGGGGCACAGACAGACATTTGAGGCTGTGAACGAGACTCTAGAATAGTGTGTTGTCTGCCTGATGTCACAGTCCGGGATGTCTCTGAGCTGATGCAGGACACCCTGAAACAGGAGGTTAAAGAGACAGAAGTCATTGTCCACACTGGCACAAATGACATAGGTAGGAAGGAAGTGGCCTTGCAAGAGCAATTCAGGGAGTTAGGTAGGTAGCTAAAAAGCAGGACTACCAGGGTCGTAATCTAAGGATTAGTAGCCATGCCACGGGCTAGTGAGGCTAGGAACAAAGAGACAGTACAGTTGAACATGTGGCTATAGAGTTGGTGTAGGAGGGAGGGCTTTAGATACATGGATCATTGGGATGTCTTCTGGGGAAGGTGGGACCTGTACAAGAAGGATAGGTTGCACCTGAACTGGAAGGGCACCAATATCCTTGGTGGGAGGTTTGGTAGAGCTCTCCAGGAGGGTTTAAACTAGTGCAACAGGTGAATGGGAACCAGAAAACCAGGCCAGTAAGTGCAGGGACAGATGACAAAAGGGAGACTGGATTATGCATAGCACAGGGTAAGAGCAGGCAGAGGAAAGTCGTGGGGCCCAGAAGGACTGGAGGTCTGCAATGCATTTACTTCAATGCACGTAGTATAGCAGGTAAGACAGATGAACTAACAGCATGGATTACTGCATGGAATTGTGATATTATTGCCATTACGGATACATAGTTAAAGGAAGGACAGGATTGGCAGCTTAAAATTCCAGGATATTGCTGTTTTAGATGGGACAGAAAGGGAAACAAAAGGGGTGGGGGAGTTGTATTGCTGATTAGGGATCACATCACAACTATGTTGAGGGAGGACACCTTGGGGGGGATCTTGCATTGAGGCATTATGGGAAAATCTCAGGAATAGGAAGGGTGAAATTACAATGTTGGGAGTTTTCAATAGACCTCACAATAGCCCACAGTAGACAGAAGTGCAGATATGAAGTCAGATACTGGAAAGGTGTGGGAAAAAAGGAGGGTAGTTGTACTGGGTGATTTCAACTTTCCTCTTATTGACTGGTACTCCCTCAGAGCAGGGGGCTTGGATGGAGAGCAATTTGTTAAATGTGTCCTTTTTGAGACAGTATGTTGTCAATCTAACCACAGAGGAGGCCATACTATACTTGGTACTAGGGAATGTGCCAGGACAGGTGATCGATGTTTCAGTAGGAGAGCATTTTGGGCTTAGTGACCATAAGATTTCGAGTAGTTATGGACAAGGACAAGAGTGGACCTTGGGTGAGGGTGCTTAACTGGGCAAGGGCCAATTACATCCACATTAGACAGGAATTGTGGAATGTGGACTGGGAGCAATTTGAGGGCAAATCTACATCTGGCATGTGGGAGGCTTTTAAAGACCAGTTGATTAAAGTCAGGACATGTATGTCCCTGCAAAACTGAAGGATAGGAATGGCAGGATTCAGGAACCACGGACGACAAGGGAAATTGTAAGCTTAGTTAAAAGGAAAAAGGAAGCATACGATAGGTCTAGGCAGCTACAAACTGACAAAGCCATTGAAGAGTATAGAGAAACTGGAAGGAACTTAAACGCGGAATTAGAAGGCTAAAAGGGACCATGGAATGTCTTTAGCATACAGGGTCAAGGAGAATCGCAAGGCTTTTTATGCACATATTGGAAGGAAGAGGGTAGCAAGGCAAGGAGTAGGCCATGCAAGGGCAAAGGAGGGAAGTTTTACATGCAGCCACAGGAAGTGGGGGAGATCCTCAATGAGTACTTTGTATCAGTATTCACTAAGGAGAAGGACATGACTGGTGTCAAGGTCCATGATAAGTGGGTGAATACTCTAGAGAATGTCAATATATTGAAGGTGGAAATTTTGGTATCCTAAATTGCACTGAGATAGACAAGTCCCCGAGATCGGAAGGGATCTATCCCAGGTTTGTGCGAGAGGCAAGGAAAGAAATGGCTAGGGCAATTAGCAGATATCTTCACATCCTCTTTGACCACAGGTGAAGTTCCAGAGGACTGGACATTAAATAATGTTGTTCCCTTGTTTAAGAAGCAGGGGCAGGGAATATCCAGGAAATTATAGGCTGGTGAGCCTGATATCTGTGGTGGAGAAGCTCTTAGAGAAGATACTGACGGACAAGATATATGCACATTTGGAAGAAAATGGATTAGTTAGTGACAGGCAGTATGGTTTTGTACTGGGAAGGTCATATCTCACCAACCCTGATTGAATGTTTTGAAAAGGGGACAAAGACAATTGATGAAGGAAGGGCTGTGAATGTAGTTTGTATGGACTTCAGTAAGGCATTTGGTAAAGTCCCACGTGGCAGATTGGTACAAAAACTAAAATCACATGGGATTCAGTATGGGCTGGCTAGATGGGTACAAAACTGGCTTGGTCACAGAAGACAGAGGGTAGCAGTGGAGAGCGTTTTTCCGAATGGAGACTGGTGATAAGTGGTGTTCCACAGGAATCAGTCTTAGGTCCTCTATTGTTTGTAGTATATATTAAATGACCAAGAGGAAAATGTGGGTGGTCTGATTAGCAATTTTCTGGATGACATGAAGATTGGTGGAGTGGCTGATAGTGTCAATGACTGTGAAAGAATACAACAGAATATCGATTGATTGGTGACTTGGGCACAGAAATGGCAGATGGAGTGTATCATCGACAAATGCAATGTGATGCATTTTGATGGCTCAAATTTAGGTGTGAATTATACTGTAAATGGCAGAACCCTTAGTAACATTAACATTCAGACGGATTTGGGCGTACAGGTCCATAGTTCCCTAAAAGTGGCAATACAGGCAGCCAAGTTGATTAAGAAGGCATATGGCGTGCTTGCCTTCATCAGCCAGGACATAGAGTACAAGAGTTGGCAAACCATGTTGCAGCAATATAAAACCCTTGTTAGGCTGCATTTAGAGTATTGTGTGCAGTTTTGGTCATCACACTACCAGACGGACATGGAAGCTTTGGAAAGAGTACAGAGAAGGTTTACCAGGATGTTGCCTGGTCTCAAGAGCATTGGCTGAGGAAAGTTTAAAAAGACCCGGATTGTTTTCACTGGAAAGACAGTAGCTGAGAGGAGACATGATAGAGGTCTACAAAATTATGAGAGGCATTGAAAGGGTGAATAGTCAGAGGCTTTTTCCCAGGGTTGAAGTTTCAATTACAAGGGGGTACAGGTTCAAGGTGAGAGGGGGAAAGTTTAAAGGAGATGTGCGAGGGAAATTTTTCATACAGAGTGTCAGGAGCCTGGAAGGCACTGCCAGAAGAGGTGGTGGAAGCAGGCATGTTGGCAAAATTTAAGAGGCACCTGGATTGTCACATGAATAGGGAGGAAATAGAGGGATATGGGCTGAATAAGGGCAGAAGATTTGTTTTTTAGATTAGTTAGGACATGATCGGCACAAGCTTGGAGGGCTGAAGGGCCTGTTCCTGTGCTGTACTTCTCTTTTGTAAGTCATGATCAAATGGTAAAGAGGACTTGATGGGATGAATGGCCTAATTCTGTTCCCATATCTTATGATCTTCTAATAATGAGCCAGCCCCTAAGGTATAAAATGGAATGTATTTGAAAATGCCTTAATGAGTGCATGTGTGTGTGGACAAAGAAGGTCAGACAGATGGTGGCTTCATGCACAATTATGATAAATCTCAGAAAATTTAAACTTACCTCCTATAGCATTAACATGGTACAAGAAAATTTCTTGAACAATATCAGTCTTCCTAATTATTAAATCCTTTAAACCCATTGAAAAATCAAAAACAAATCTTTATTAAATTATAATAAACTAAAACGCAGATACAAATATTCAGTGTAAAGTACATACCACTAAGAACTCCTTCTTGTCCACCATTTCATTGCCATCAGTATCAAACATGTTGAAAGCTATTTTAAAACCTGCATGAGGTTCTGCAACATATATACAAAATACCAATAGATTAGTTAGAAAAATGTATCAGCAGCACTATGTCAAATGCATACTCCACCCTCCTGTGCATGTATTATCACATAAATCTAAAGGTGGTGCATGGACCAGTATTTTAATTAAATATTAAATAAGCATTTAAAGTATTATGACTTAGAGAGTGCTTTGGACATTGGAAAATATCCCAAGGCACTTAATAAGAGTGATATCACCGTAACAATGTACCAACACGTCGTGCTGTCAACTTAAGATTGGCACAAATAATCATAGGTGAACCTTTTAAAGGATACGAAATTAAAAAGCAAACTGTGGTATGATTCAATAATGTAAAAACAGGTTGCCTGTGTTTAGGTTTATAAAATAAAAATCTACAAAAAGGAAACACAATAGCACAAATTTCAAATATTTTAATATTATGTTATGCATAAATAAGGTAAAGCAAAGGCAGAGGAACAGTGTTAGAAAGTACAGATATACATGGGTCAAACTTTCTCCTTCACATCCTGTAGTTCATACTTATTTCCTGCTTCATTCATGATATTTTATCTTAATTATGTGCTTTAGTCTTAGAAGACGTCACTCAATTTCCAACAATTAAACAATATTTATTGTTGAGAAGTATTAACTAAGTACTTAAGAAGAGTACCAAATATTTCCTATTAAAAAAAACTTTACCTCCCTTATCAATTTTGACAAAGGTCTCCATTAGAAATTTTAATTATTTTTATCTTTCTATATCTGCTATGTGCTTCTAGCATTTTCTGCAAGTTTGATATCAGTCTATTCTTTAATAAGGATTCTTAATGCACAGAGGTGATAAATACCAAGATAATGACTACACAAATTCATACTGAAAATTGGTAATGGATTTTTTTGTGCTTCAATTAACTTCTACTGCACTTACCAAAAGGTTACAAAGCAAGGTTACAAGCTACTGGATTGTTTACTTATATTCACAAGTAAAATGGCGCAAGCATAACCTTAAAATATGCACAGCACTTCAGTTAAGATTATTAAACATGCTAGTTGTTGACTCACTTGTTAGTATGCACAAAAGAAACAAATATTCTGTGTAGGCAATCAGACCTAGAAATAGGGAAAAATGGCATTTTTTATTATTTAGAAATAAGAAAAAAAATGCAGGTTAGTAGAGCATAGCAAATAAAACGTTTCAAGTATCAACATTCATCACGATACTTCTGCAGTGCGTGGCCTGGACGTTGATCCCAACGTTTTTCAGTACGGTATTGACAATTTTGCATTGTAAGTAAAATGCTCAGTAATGAGGTTTTCATCTTTACGAATGATTTCCTGTTTATACTAAAACTGAAGACCGTAAAATGATTAGTTGAGGTTAAATAGTCTTCTGCATTACAACTTGTTGCTTTTGTTCCTTAAAGCATATAAAAATAGAGAACAAACATGATTGACCTTTCAAGTGGTTACAAATGCAAATAAAATTGAGGTACACCTGTGATATTCACCGACAGATAAGAAATTCCTTGAATTTTGATAAGAGGATGTAAAACATTCTTAAGTAAATCACACAATTAATGTGAAGACTTTTTATTTTTGTTTTTATTTGTTTTACAAAGAGATTGTCAGCTAACAATGAGAAACCATTTGTTGGGCAACAAATAACTAAACATGAAGACAACTGTTTACCAGCCTCTAAAAGCATTCAGCCCTTTGTGATTGTAGATCATGACCTATGCTCAGATAGTTCTGGTTGACTGCATTGAGTGCTATGGGAGAAAGATTTTGAAATGGTCACCACAAAACAAGAGGCCTGTCCAGCAAGACCACAGAGATGATAAAAAGGTCATCGGAATTTTTAAGAAAAATATGGTTAAAAATTATGCACATAGATTGGATGTTAGTTTCAGCCACAGAATATTAAAAAAAGACATGTTTTACTCTTGCTCAACACATTTTAATCAAGCTAATATGCTAAAACATAAACAATGGCCTAACATTCCATAGTTTCTGCTCCACTGCTGGATTTGTTGTGGTGGAAGAAAACTAGCCACAGAGTATGAATCTTGTGCCAAATCAAGAAGCCAGGTTATTTAAACATTTGGGCAGGGAGTCCATGACCATTGAGATGCTGCAGAAGTGTCCAACCTAACACTCCTCATAGGTTGGAGCAACACCCTGCTGGTACAATGGAGGAAATTAAGGATTCCTAATACACAAAGTTAAAACTTGGGAAATAAAAATCCCCAAATAACACTGCCAAATCTTAGAGAATCAGTTTTCTCTTTCCATTATAAAAATGCTCGAATTACTTGACATATCTGGCAACATCCATTATGACAGAAACAGAGTTAACATTTGAAGTGTGTTCTGATGAAAGTCACACCCTAAAAATATTAACTCTTTGGAAAGAGAAACAGAGGCTGACAAACCTGCTGGGTATTTCCAGCATTTTCAGTTTTTAATGGCACGTTCACAAATGTATTCCACTTTTGTCCTTTCTTCACTGCTCATGCCTTTTGAAAACAGTGCAGAATCTACACTTCTCAGCAGGATGAGTCTTACCAAGGTAGGCAGGGTATACTCCTGAAGCCTCACCAAAGTCGAGTTCAGGCTATGACGAGATGAAAATCTAGCAAATTTACACCCCAAATTTCTATCTATCTGTTTCCACTACACTATGAGCTTTGGCACTGGTATTTATGGAACTTTGTTATGTATTTGAGTAAGCAAATAGAATTATCAGTAGGATAATAGGAGGATTTTAACAGTGTGATACACCATACATTATGTACTCAAGTCATAGTGGAATTGAACTCAATTGTTTGATTCAGAAATAGAGTTTGCATGCCAAGTTCATTAATGCCAATGAGCCGAAAACAGATGACCATAAATGTTAAGATTTTTAGAAAACTTGATCTAGTGAAGTTAAAGCACGTAAAAGGTTTCTCAGCCTTATTTTATCTATTCATCCAAGCCACATGTAATGACAAAATGCAGGTCAAAAAATTATATTCACTCTTGGGCCGTGGAAGTCACTGGCTGGTCAAGATTTACAGTCATAGAGATGTTCAGCAATGAAACAGACCCTTTGGTCCAACTCGTCCATGCTGACCAGATATCGTGAATAAATCTAATCCCATTTGCCAGCATTTGGCCCATATCCCTCTAAACCTTTGCTATTCATATACCCATCCAGATGCCTTGTAAATATTATTGGACTTGCCTCACCACTTCCTCTAGCAGTTCATTCCATACATGCACCACCCTCTGTGTGAAAAAGTTGCCCCTTAGCTCCCTTATATATATCTTTCCCCTCACCTTAAACCTATGCCCTCAAGTTTTCGACTCTCCAACCCTGGGGAAAAGACCTTGGCCATTCACCCTATCCACGTCCCGTTTGATTTTATAAACCTCTCTAAGATCACCTCTCAACCTCTGTCACTCCTGGGAATATAACCCCAGTCTATTCAGCCTCTTCCTATAGCTGAAACCCTCCAACCCTGGCAACATCCTTGTAAATCTTTCCTGAACCCTTTCAAGTTTCATAACATCCTTCCTAGAGCAGGAAGGCCAGAACTGAATGCAGTATTCCAAACATGGCCTAACCATTGTCCTTTACAGTTGCAATATGACCTCCCATTTCCTACACTCAATGCACTGACCAATAAAAGCAAGCATACCAAATGCTTTCTTCACTATCCCATCTACATGTGACTGCACTCTCAAGGAACTATGAACCTGCACTCCAAGGTCTCTTCATTCAGCAACAACCCCCAGGACATTACCATTAAGTGTGCAAGTCCTGCCCTGATTTGCCTTTCCAAAATGCAGCACCTCACATTTATCTAAATTAAACTCCATCTGCCACTCATCAGCCCATTGATCCACCTGATCAAGATCCCGTTGTACTCTGAGGTAATCTTCTTCGCTGTCCATTACACATCCAAGTTTGGTGTCATCTGCAAACTTACTAACCATACTTCCGATATTCACATCCAAGTTATTTTGACCCATCTTCAATTGCCCCTGAGAAGGTGATAGTGAGCTGCAGTCCATGTGCTGTAAGTAGATGTAGGGAGTGAATTCCATGATTTTGACTTGGATACTTTTGTACATTTTAGTAGCTCCCCAAGTACACTATATGATATAAAACAGCTTCACAACAGATTTTTAATGGTTTTACTGCTGTAATAGATCTGGATTTAATCAAGTTACCATGGTGGAATTGTAATACATTTTTTGTAATATATTTCATAAAGCGATACTGCGGGTAATTTTAGTTTTGGTTAGTAATTAGAGCATATGGTGGTATTGATTCAACTGCCCGTTATATACAAGTCCCAATTTTCATTTCTACCTACCAACTTCATTAGCATGGCAAGTTCAAAATCAGTTCTATAAACATGAAACTAAATTATCCTTGAATATTGACTGACATTTTATCAACAAATTTCCAAATATTGAACAATTCTGTTGAAAACAGAAAACCTGAAGATTAATTTCTGCCACAGTTAGCTGGAATATTAATAACTGATTTCCATAACTTGTTTATTCCAATTGGATATAAAATACACCTTTGCATGAGAAATATAAATTATCTTAACTAAATTGACATGTCAAGTGACCTGAAATTAATTGTCCAATCTTAACAGTCATTATACTTTACCATCAAACTAGTGACAACAATAAACATTGCTATATAATGCAACTAAGGTATATAGGTTTGATTGTCTAAACCGGGCAGTGAATATTCACAAGGAAATTCTACAGACTAAACAGGATTGATTCTTGAACTTAGAACTTACAGTACAGAAAAGGCACTCATCACACTTTCCCATATAAAGCCCATAACCTTGCATGTTATGACACTTCAAGTGCTCATCCAAGTACTTTTTAAAAGGTTGTGTGTTTCCCATCTCAACTACTCTCCCAGGCAGAGCATTTCAGGCACCCACCATCCTCTGGGTGAAAAAGATTTTCCTCAAATCCCCTAAACTTCATGCTTTTAACCTTAAAATTATTTTCCCTTGTTACTGAGCTTTCGAATAAGTGGCACAGCTGTTTCCATTTACCTTGTCCATTCCCCTCAATCTTATACACCTCTACCAGGGTCCCTTCAACCTTCTCTGTTCCAAAGAAAATAACCCAAGCTTGTCCAGCTCTTCATAACCAAAATGCTCCATCCCAGTCAACATTCTGTTGAATCACGTCTGTAACCCCCTCCAGTGCAATCACAACCTTCTTATAGCACAGTGATTGAGAACTGCACATAGTACTCCAGCTGTGGCCTAACCAAAGCTCTGTACAGCTGCAACTTGACCTACCTGCTCTTATTATCTATGCCTCAACTGATAAAGGCAAGTGTCCTGTATACCTTCTTACCTACCTTATTTAACCTGTTGCACCACCTTCAAGGATCTGTGCACAAGCAATCCAAGCTTCCTCAGCTTCCTAGTGACCTGCCATTCACTGAGTAAGACTGCTCTCTCATTAGAGATACAACTGGTGATGATTTAACTTGAGGATCACCACAGGTGAGTAGTGTGGTTGAGAAGGTGAAACATTCCTGTTAACCTCAGCCAGTACAGGAATTGATCATGTTGGTGTCACGCTTCATATCAAACCAGCCATTCAGCCAACTAAGCTAACTAACACCAAATTACAAGGAACATTGGTCACCACGCCTCAGGCAAGGTTGAGAAGGAGGGGCTTTTGTAGTAACCTCGACCGGTATGGGAATTAAACCTGTGCTTTTGACATCTTTCTGCATTGCAAACCTGCCAAATGAGTTAACCAACTCCTCCCATGATTAGCCTTCAGATTTTATACATGATTTTTCTTGCAGTTTCAGTGCACATTCTATGACTGATTCTCCAGGGTTTCAGAGTTACAATTTTGTATCGAGACTTTTAATCGGGATAACATTTTCCTATGAAAACATTGGTTTAAGATAGAACAAGAGCTCAGTCGGAGCGAGAGAGGAGAAGATCGAGCTCAGCTGGAGCAGTAGTGGAACAGGAGCGGATCGAGTGAACTCAAAAAGTGACAGAGGATTACAGCAAGAGATTGGCTACCTGGGAACCAACTTTAGAGATTGAGTGAGTAGT